TTTTCAGATTTAGTATCATCCTGTAGGTTCCGGACGCTTTCTTCCTTAGGAAGAAATAGGAGTAGAAACCACTTCCCCTCTCTTCCTCCTCCAGCTGGCAAATCACGTTCTGCCTGAGCATTTCTTCCAGGAGGTCCACCAATGCATCTGCCTTTTCCCTGTCCCTTGGCAGGGGTGTTGTGAAGAATCTTTGAGGCGGGGGCCTTGAAAACTCTATTCTGTAACCTCTGCGAATGGCATCTAGAATGTAAGTGTTCTGGGTGATCTTCAGCCATTGTGTGTGTAAGTGTCCCAGCCTTCCTCCCACCTGGCTTCTCCAGTCACTTGGGCTGGGTCTTGGGTCTATTCTGGCTGGGGTTGAAGAGGAACCCTCCTCTTCCCCTTGACTCATTCCTGCCTCTCCTCGAGCCCCAGCCTGTGCGCTGCCCTTGAAACCTAGTCTCCCTCGTCGTGTACTGCCTGTTGGTGCAAAACCCCTTCCGACCTACTTGCCTGCTGGGGACTGGAAAGCTTTTCCTTTTATCGGCCGACCTTTCCAAGACCGAAGTTAGTTCCAGCCCGAAGAGGAGTTTTCCTTCGAAGGGCAGACCACAGAGTTTGGAGATAGAGGCAAGGCCCCAGATAGCTCTTCTTGCGGAATGTATTAGCGCCGTTGATCTAGCTGAGAACCTGATAGTTTCTGCTGATGCGTCAGCAATAAAGTCCACCGCTTTTTCCAGTACCGGCAGCGATTTGAGGATCTCTTCCACCGGGGTACCTTGTTCCAGGTGAGAGCGGAGCTGCCCCAACCATACATCCAAAGTTCTGGAGACGCAGGTCGTCGCTACTGCTGGTTTGAAGTTCACTGCAGACGCTTCATGCTCTCCTCAGGAATGTGTCTGCTTTCCAGTCCATTGGATCTTTCAGGGACCCGCCGTCCTTGAAGGACAGGTCCGTCGCTTTTGAGATTCTAGAAAAAGAGGCATCTGGCTTCGGGCAGGTTTCCCACATGGAAGCATCTTCGTCTTTGAACGGGTATCGCCTCTTAAGATTCTTGGGAAAGAAAGCCTTCTTTTCTGGTTCTTCCCATTCCCTCCTAATAGTGGACCATAGGGTAGAGTGCACTGGGAATGTGTGGCTGCTCTTTGTTTTTAGCCCTGCGCACAGCTGGTCATGGAGAGAGAGGTCCTGTTGTTCCTCCTCCAGATCCAGAGTATCGTAGATCACTTTCAGAAGGCTCTTCATGTCTTCTGCCTGAAAAAGGAATCTTTGCGCTTTTGGATCGTGATCCTCAATCTCGTCTTCCTCCGAGTCCGAAGTGCTCGATGGTTCGGCTTCCCTTGCGGCAGTTGCCTGGTCCTGCTTCCTCTTTTTTTCCCCCCCCTGGGTACTGCCTGAAGTGCCTGGTTGGGGCTCGTCCTGGGCTGGTCCCGGCCTCTGCTCCCTGAAGCTCTTGGACATTTCTTGTGTCATATTCTGCAGGAAATCCTTAAAGAGGGACCCAGACTCCTTTTTGATAAGCTTATCTATGCAGTCTTGGCAGAGTTGCTTCCGCCAGGAGCTTGCCAGTTTCTTTCTGCAAGTAGCACATTTCTTTTTCAGCTCGCAAGGAGCTTCTCTTCCCCCTCTATCTTCCTCCTGTGGGTCCATCTGGGGACAAGGAGACATTGATATTTATCAACCACGGGGGCCCCCAGGGACTCCCCCACGTGTACCCCTCCAACACCCTAAAAGCCAGCAGGGGGGGATGAGTGTGGGGGGTGCCTGAGGGTCCCGGAGGGGGGAGGGGGGGGGAAGGGGGTGAGTGGCGGCCAAAAAGGCCCTTACCTTGCTGCAGGCCTCCCCCAGCCCTGACAGATCTGCCTCCATCCTTGCCGCAAACTCCTCCTTAGTGCGGCGGTTTTTCAGGGACTGGCGGGCTCCGCCCCCCCTGGGGTCCCGTCACGCCGACCTCCCCCTCACGTCCGCCGGTGGAGAAGCGGCTGTGGCGTGGGCTAATTCCGCGGTCCGCCACCCACATCCAACATCGCGGCGGCCACTCCATGTTTCCTGCTCCGGAAGTGACGCCGTCCCGGCGCCCGGAAGTGACGCGGTTGCGGCGTCCTGTCCCCGAGCAGCCGCACCTCCTGGCCATGCTGCCGGGATCCCAGAACCAGGTAGGACTTACCTCAGCCCCCAGGGAAAGGCACCACTGCCCAGGTCGGCGGAGCGGGCTCTACCCCCCTGGAGAGCCCCGCTAGGACCATCCGGGGTCTGTCACCCCCACCCTGAATGGTCTGTCCATGACAGGAGCCTGACTGAAAGCCCCCCACAAGGCCCCTGCCCTGCTAGAGAAAGGAGGAAGGGGGGCCTCAGCCAGGGGCCCTCTGTACCTCGCCAGACGGCCGGGAAGAAAATAATAAATCGGGCGCAGCTCCATCCTGGCCAGAGGAAACACTAATACTGAGGGTCCCCTGGGAGAGAGGATATTTATAAGGGGGAAAAAAGGTGGAGCGGGTGTTTCCTGGGAGGAGCCCTATCTCTCAAGTGAAGCTGTCCTAGAAGATGACTAGGGAAAATAAACTAACCATGTATAGAGTAGAAATAGTTGGGTCCTCAGCACAGGGTATTTCAAAAGAGGGGAGTTAGACTACATTTACACTATAACCTCCTGCCCTACTAGTTTCGTCATCCGATGTCCTCACGGGGTGGATGTGAGGACGTTGGATGATGAAACTAGTAGGGCGGGGCTTCTTTTGGATGTGAAGTCTGGATGCTCCTCGTAGACTGTCGGCTGTGATATCACGGTGAGCGAGGCTCATCCCTGTTTTCTTGAGGCTGTCATTGCTGGTGTCGGCTAGACACCCTGTTTGTGAGTGCATTTCTGACGTTTTAAAACATTTTGGTTTTAAATGTACTGCACCATGATTCCTTTTTTGATTCCCCGAACATGATCTATGGTATGGAGACGTGATGACTACCTGCTGTTAAGGCTATTCCATATTGTGCTGACTGGCTGCTTGCAGTATATTGCTCCCAGTTTGGATTACTTCTGCTGATCATCGCTCCCAGAGCAAACGCTATCTTTGCTGACTTATAATGTGGTCAGCATGGAGCTCTGGTGAGTGTACCCATTTCATTCAGTGGTTTGATTTATACAAGATTTCAGAACTGTTTAATTACTTTGTTATGGTGGATGGACTTTTATATAAAAAATTTTCTATCACGGATATCATTATTTTAAATTAATAATTTTTGTATTTACTTATATTTAGCGCACTCTTTGTTTTATTCACATTTTTACCTTTTTTTGGTTAGGAGTGCAGCTTTTGTTCTATTTAGTTTGTGGTGCTTTTTTTTTTTTCTCTATTTCTCATATTAACATGATCTGTGCAAGTTTCCATATTTTTTGTGCGTGACCTGTCTCAACTGTGAATTCCAGCGTATAGTCAGACATTTCTAGAATGATGTAGTAGCGTCAACCGCAAAACCACAATGACATCATTCTGCAATTAAACCAATTATAATCCACGCTAATGGGCGTTCTAATGAGAAGCCATTAGCTTTTAATTTTGCTCTTGACTGTAAAATATTGTGTATATATATCGGCATTCTGGTATGTTGATGAGATATTCTTTAGGGAAAATTTATATAAAACTGAGAAAAGTGACTGGGTCATCACATGAGTCTGCCTTAAAATTAGTTTTCTGTTCATTTCAAACTGCTCATTTGCTGAACAGAAAAACAACCTACCACAAAAAGCAACATTGATGGGTCTAGTTGCAAACTGTTGTGTGTGTGTGTCCTTTTCAGGCTCCAATAATAGGATTTGCCTCTAGCAGTTTGTGTCTCTGACTTCCCCCAGTAGACCCTAATAATGTGTCACCCTTTCAGAGCTGGGGTCACTAGTTATTTGTGTATTTTCTCTTATAGGGAACCCATTCAGAGTGTATACAAAAGAGGACAGCCAACCCAATGTATAATTAGCCTTTGCAGGTGCACATGGAAGGGCAATGCACAACACAAACAAAAAGCAAAAAAAACCCCAAAAAACAAATTTACCCTAACAATTCACAATAAAACAGAGGTTTTAGTTGCACACATTTGCAAATATATGTGTTAGCCGCTTCTCCGTGTACTGTGGTCCTAACTCTATATTTTTGAGTTTTCAGTTTGAAGCACGTATAACAGTGGATAAATTGGGTGCAGGTTTGCCTGCAGGGAGCCCATTCCTCTTTAACCACTTTACAACCGTGCTATAGCCGAAAGACAGCTACAGTGCGGTTGTCCAGTTCTGAACGCCCCCCCACGCACACCCGACGCTGTCAGTGATTGCTGTGTCCTACAGACACATGACTAGGTAAAAGGCCAATCACAGTGGCCTTTTACCACGTGATCAGCTGTGTCCAATGACATACTGTAGCTTAATATGTACATGCGCAGCCAAACCTTTTTTTTAAACATCAGGATTAAGGGTAATTTTCCATCAAAGGTTACTGGGTGTCTTATAAAATATCAGAATTCATCTCATGTGACACTTCGCATGTGGTCTGTGCCCTCCAGTGTCCATGTGGCCTGCAATATCTGGGCCGGACTAAGCACACGTTAACCACTTGCCTACAGGGCACTTTTACCCCCTTTCTGCCCAGGCCAATTTTTAGCTTTCAGCGCTGTCACACTTTGAATGACAATTGGGTGGTCATTCAACAAAATTTTTATCATTTTTTTGAGACAGAGCTTTCTTTTGGTGGTATTTAATAACCACTGGGGTTTTTATTTTATGCTAAACAAACTAAAAAAGACTGAAAATTTTGAAAAAAAAAATGTTTTCTTAGTTTCTGTTATAAAATTTTGTAAATAAGTTATTTTTCTCCTTCACTGAAGTGCACTAATGAGGCTGCAGTGATGGGCACTGATAGGCGGCAAAGATAGGCGGCACTGCTAAGGAGGCACCGATAGGTGACACTGATGGGCATTGACAGGGATTACTTGTGGGCATTGACAGGCATCACTGATGGCCACTGAAAGGCAGCACTCGTATATGGCACTGATAGGCGGCACTGATGGGTACTGGTAGGCGGCACTGACTGGCACTGATAAGCAACACTGATTGGAACTGTTAGGCGGCGGACATTGACAGGCAGCACTGATGGGCATCGATAAGCGGCACTGACTGGCACTGATAGGTGGCACTGATTGGCAGCACTGATAGGCGACACTGACTGGTACTGATAGGTGGAACTGAGTGGCACTGATAGGCGGCACTGAAAGGCAGCTCTGATGGGCACTGATATGTGGCATTGATGTGCACTGACAGGTGACACTGATGGGGCTACACTGATCATCAGGGCACTGATCATCAGTGCCCTGATGATCAGTGTAGATGTCCCCTCTGAGGAATGCCGATTACCGGCTCTCCTCTCCTCACAAGCTGTCAGTGGGAGGAGAGGACTGCCGATAACTGACGTGTCCTATTTACATGTGATCAGCTGTGATTGGAAACAGCTGATCACATGACAGAGCTGACGTCATCGGCTTTTTATAGTGATCGGTGATCCGCTGTGTCCCAGGGACACAGTGCACCACCGATTGCCGCGTGCCCCTGAGGGCACGCATGTGCAGTTAGAGTAAGAGAGAACCGCTGCCCGCTTGTCATTACCTTATATGGCGGGCAGGAGGAGGTTCAAAAAACATTTGGCTGAGCATGTACATAATATCACATTGGCTTTCATAACCATAGTGTCTCACTTCACTTTAGGCAGGTGCATAATAAAAATCCTGAGGGCTTGATGTTTTGGGGCTTAGATAGAATCCACCCATCGTGGAGAGGTTCCAATATGGTTAGGGAACCCTCTAAGCATGAAACCAAGTAGATCTATCAGCTCCAAACTTTGAATCCACTAGGCCTTAATGTAGAAGTTGATATTAATTGCTTAATTATTAATATGTAGTGGGTTAAATATTTGAATTGATTTGTGAGGTATAGTGGTTACTAGGTTTTAGGTAATTAAATTCTTTTCTACCCTCATTGTAGATATTTACATAGAAATGTTTAGTATTATTTTATATTAATGTAATATGTATGAATTTAACATGTATGAATTTCAGTTATATTGATAGTAACCACTTTTTTTTGCATATCATATACCTTTTTAATGTTTTAATTTTTAATATTGTTTATGTTTATTACAAATATTGTATTTTGTTATGGCTTATTGTTTAATGAAATTACCCAGAAGGGATTGTACATTTATAAGGGTGTACGTAAATATTATATTCTACATACACTTCATGCATAATTTTATTGTGGTATTAATGTATTTAGTAATGGGTAGGAGCAATATATTTATTGGCCACAAGATGGGATTCCACCGTGATCATATTTCTGACTGTTTTTATTTAGCGCTGCACTTTATTATATACATTGGTCCTATCATTTGACTCTCTAATGGTTGCAAAAACCAAGGAATTCTGGTGGAGATTCTTTAGCATCGGAATCCCTTCTAGATATAACCTCTATCTGCTAGCACATATGCAAAACTGAAATAACAATGTTTGTGTTCTACAGTAAGTTAAAGTATTAAGCTGGCTATACATGGGATGACTTTTGGTGTGGTTCAGTTGTACAAATGTGACTGTACAAATTACAATATTGCTAAAAATGTCACAGTACATGGTCTTCCACTCTGTGGGATTGTTCAAATTGGTAACAAATCTTGTTATCAATAGTCTTCCCAGAGTGATTCCCTGTCAGCTTGGAAGATCATTGATGAGTTTCTCTAATCATTTTTTAGACTGAGCAAGTCATGAACTCTTTTTACTTGGAGAAGAGTTGTACATTAAAGCCCATGCATTATACAATTTTCTATCCTGCAACCACGGGTGCTTCGAATTGCTGGACCTTGCAGCACTATTGTACCCATAGTTGAATTGAATCTCGGCCTGTCCCTGCTGAACTGTCTGAGATTTGATCTATAGCTGGTTTAGAACTAAAATCAAAACTTGTATTTTATGTTTGTCAAAGTTAGCGAGGGTTACAACCCCTGTCAGTTTTGCTTTTGCCTTCTCTGTCCCAATGGAGAGTTTTCCGTTCATTTTATGTCCCATATCCAAAGCAAGAAGTGAGAGCAAAGTGAAGAATACCATTTGTCACCAGGGTCAATAGAACTAGTGTCTCCATTGGAAGATTTCCATTTAATTTGTGTTCTGGTAACAACCCAAAATTTTGGATTTTCTTTTACTTTCACTCTGAGTGTGAATCTTCCTAACAGGGGCACAGAGATCAGTTAAAGCCTGATAGATGGTCCAATCCTTCTCCACTTTATCCAAAACTAAAAAAAAAACACACAAAAAAAAGTTTTGCCTTTAAGCTGGCCATAGACTGTTTGAATCAGAAGAGAGACCGAGATTTGATCAGTGTATGGGCAGGATGAATGTACTGTCGATCGATCAACTTGGATACAAACAGCCTGCCGAAATTTACATGCGATTATTGCTAGTGGCTATGATGTTCCGGTGGGGACTGCTTACCCCGCCCCCTACCCCCCCAGGAGAACACAGTGCCTCTGCAAGAGGGATTCTCCTACCAATACTGACTGTGCAAAGAGCAGCCTCTTCTCTGGTCATCCGCAGGTTCTCCTGTCGGGTGCCCCCACAGCAAACAGTATGCTATGGGGGCAGCCGCTGCTCTGTGTATCCATTCACATTTGGAGCTGTGGCTTGGCCCCGCCCCTTCTCTCCTCATTGGCTGACTGTCTGTGATTGACAGCAGTGGGAGCCAATGGCTTCCACTTTCTGTGTCAGCCAATGAGGAGGCAGAGACCCAGGACAGCCGAGGCTGTCATTGACATCGCTGTATCATGAGGAGGCTCAGGTAAGTAGTGAGGGTACTGGGGGAGCTGCTGCACACAGAAGGTTTTTTACCTTCATGCGTAGAATGCATGAAGGTAAAAAACCTCGGGCCTTTACAACCACTTTAAGGGTCAATGCACACTGGCTTAATAAACACTGCTTCTACAGGAGTTTTGCTTTTTGCCTATAGAAGCAGCTCAATGTTATATGTGTCCATGCACATTAGGATGTTTAGAAGCATATTTTAGGCTCAGTGTTTAGAGGCAGAAAAAAAATCCTTCTGTTTTGCATTTTTGAGAGGAGTTTTCTGTCAGAAACAACTGCTAAATGCTCCTAAATGCTAGTAAGTCAGAATGAGCATTTTTTTTTTTCTGCCAAGGGAACTAGTGTTTTTTAAGCCAGTGTGCATGGACCCCCAATATATATTCAGTATATGCACTAATTTTAAGCTATGTCTGTGATATGAATCTGTTTTTCTGAATCTACAGTTGGTCTGGAACAAAAAGACAATAGTCTCATTGCTCTTTCCACTAACCTTAAAGTGTTACTTTAATCTGTCTATATAGGCAGTAAAGCATACTTGTTATACTCACTGTGGGACCTAAGGGGGCTATCCTCTGCATTGTGTAAAAAGGCTGTTTTATCTTGTCTTCTATGATCCTCCCCTTCTTTTACTGTCCCCAATCCATCTGCCATCCCCAATCCATCTGCCATAGTTGGAGCAGCAGTGGCATGTCAGCACATGCTTTGTTTGGTGTGTATTGCTATAGACTTTTTTTTTTGTGAAAGTGAATGTGATCGGCACAGGGCCAATCAGCACTGCCCGGACAGAGGGTCAGGGCTTATGCAGCCTCATAGGACAGTCAGAGGAGAATGAAACTCCTCCTGCTAGATTAATCAGTGCTTGGCTGGACACTGACAGAAGTCACAAGACTGCTATATACTGCTGATGAGAAAAGGTATATATCAGTTTACATTTACTAAAATAATTGCATTTCCATGTTCTGTGTACTGTGGAAGACCAGATATAGTAAATGAATACCTCCCAACTGTCCCTGATTTGGAACAAAGTCTCTCTGTTCCTCTTTCCTGCTCATTTGTCCCTCATTTTGGTCTGATCTGTAAAGTTGTATATAAATTGCACTATTTATCTTTCAGAAAGTGTTTCCCATCGCTAAACCTTTCATCCGGCTTCTAAATTGTTGTATTTGTAAACTTCAAAAGCCAATATAAAGAAATCGTAGTAGTTAAAAAAAAAAAAAAAAACACTTGTAGGTTTAACTAATCATTTTTTTTTTCGTGTAATTTTCTTTTATGGGGGCATGGCAAGGGCTGAGTCCTATGCCTACAAACATTTGCTAATAGGTGTCTCTCGTTCCAATCTCAAAAAGTTAGGAGGTATGGTGAAAGCAGGGTCCTGGGTTTAGTAACACTTTAAATAAGAATTAAATCTTTCCTTATGTTTGGTATTTGTGATGAAAGTAAGACATGCAACTACCTTTTGTTTTAATAGATTCTCTTAAGCCTTTAACCAACTGTCCAGTGATTTATTACAGATCTGTGATAGATAACAGACCTGTAGCTAGCAAAGGCAACTATTATCTTGCAGTTATTTATGCTGTCAAGGACCTAAGCAAAAATGGGGGTCTCTTTCAGAGCAAGCTATAGCGGTCATCCCAATGTCCTTTGCAAAAATGCATCTGTACAGCTAATGATAGTTTTAGGAGGGGGTTGGAAAAATTTGCAGTTAAAACAGAAGGCCCCTTTAATAGAAACAACGTGAGTGTGTCTGTCTTGATTGAGATGATGAGCCGCCTGTCCTCCCAGAGGGTTTGCCCTTCAAACTCCTTGTTCATCTGTTAACAATTTTGCTATTTTCAAGTTACTTTTGCAGAAATCTTAGAAGGTGCGTAATGGTGTCAGGGTCTTCGCACTGCCAGAAGAACCTTGCAATCTTTTTGAGCTGTATGGTCACCAGCTTTGCAGGAGGTTATTAGGGGGAATGAATAATAGCTCGTACATACACAAAGCATGTTAATGGATTCATCCTTTACTGAGCTGAACCGCAGCAGCCTGTACTGTCTGGCGAAATGGTTAGTTCCATACAGCGTCTATTGTTCTCAGTGGAGAATGTTCACATCTTTCTTGCTGCCTGCTATGGTTGCACACAGAGTAGTTGAGTTATTGAAACTTGTTGAACTGAGTTTTTCAGCAGCAGTTTCTCATTTTTGCTTTCAAACAAGAGTGAAATATGCAACCTGACTGGTGAATTAAAACAGAACTAAACACTGGAATATCTAAAAACAATGGTGTAGCGCCCTATGGTGTAGTGTCCTCCATATTGGAACCCTGAGAACCATGAGTATACACCCATAATATGGGAAAAAGCTGATATTGTTTTTCTGACATGTGAGTGGGCTTTTTTATTGCTTTTTTGGAAATAAAATTACTGGTTTACACTATGGAGGTCTTTTCTGTCTTTTAATAT